TGTGGATAGAAACATACAAAACAACCTATAATCCTTTAAATATAATGTATTGATGTTATTTTGAAGTTGATCTGTTTTCAACTTCCAAAAGTTATATTATGCTGTAGACCTTTGCTCTGTTTATATTTTTCATTCAAGAGGTTTTAAAGTTCTAAGCAAGCAGTTGGATATACATCTTCTTTAATTCTAACTACAGTACAGTATCCCATGGAGTGTATCTACCTTATTTCATTTTTCCATTCCCCCAAGTGATGGACACTTTGGTTACCACAACGCCCAATGTAAATCCTGATACCCATCTTCTACTGGGCTGTTTTGGGATGGAATAATAATTACAAAATGAGAAGTTATGGTAGGAAGTTGGTGGAGAAACAGACTCATAAGAAGTAATTTTTCGATGACGTTAGAGAAGTGTTGCTGCAGTTGCCTTTTTATGTAAACAAAAATGACTCAAGAAACTAACAAGAATTGCTTCCACATAGATATCCTCCTATAACCATCACAACTGAACCAACCATGGACTGAAAAGAAACTTGAAGTATCAGAGAAAATTAGTTTACAAATTTAGAAAAATGGTCACATTAACTTAGCAAATGTTATTTTAGCATTAGTTGTATGAAAGAAAAGTCCTAGTCCACTTATAAAGATAACTGCTCACCTACTCCTTTTAGTTTATAATGCTCACCATAGAATAGTTGGTAATGTTAAAAAAAATGGTTCTCAATAGCTGAACAAGCAGACCCCAAGTAGTTGTAGTTATCCACCATTCTCAGTGTTACCTGTATTTCAGAATCACCTACTGAAAAATGCAACATCTGAGCTCCATGCTAAGCTAGTTAGACTCCCTAGAAGTGAGCCAAAATTGCATTTTTAAAAATCTCCCATATAACCCAAATATGCAGATAGGATTGAGAAAAATCACTTTAAGTTATAAGTACTCAGATTGTCAGTCATGATTTCAATAGTAAATAAAACATTGCCTCAAGTTGGCATTAATAATAAAAGAATTTATGAACTCACACAGTCAGAAGTCCATGACACAGGCAGGTACATCCAGGGTGCAACCATACATCTCCAAAGCGCTGCCAAACTGCTCTAACTGATGTCTTCCACCTCAGGCTGGTAACAAGACAGCTTGCAGCCTTTTCAGTATGATGCATCCAAGCACACCCAATAGCTGCTCCTTTAGAGCAACGAAACCCTTCCCAGAAGCCCCCAGTATATACCCACTTACAGCTAATTGGCCAGAACTTGGTTCCAACCTGATAATGGTACTGAATTAACAAGACTAGATGAGGCTGATGGTTCTCAAACTTGAAGTGTGCATTAAAATCACCGGTTCAGCTTATTAAACTACAGGTCACTGAGTCCCACCCCCACGGTTTCTTATTCAGTACTTTTAGGCTAGGGCCCAAATATTTTCATTCTCAGTTCCCAAGTTATGATGATTTTGATGCACTTTGAGAACCACCTGCTTAGAGCAGGTATAAGCAGCTTTCTCTAAAATACATGGTTATGTGAGGGCGCCTGGGTGGCTCAGTTGGTTAAGCGACTGCCTTCGGCTCAGGTCATGATCCCAGGGTCCTGGGATCGAGTCCGCATCGGGCTCCCTGCTCTGCAGGGAGCCTGCTTCTCCCTCTCCCACTCCCCCTGCTTGTGTTCCCTCTCTCGCTGTGTCTCTCTCTGTCAAATAAATAAATAAAATCTTTAAAAAAAAAAAAAAATAAATAAAATAAAATAAAATAAAATACATGGTTATGTGAAAGAGTAAACACCTCTGGTTATTTAAATATGTCCACAAATTATATGACTCCTTTTAATAGGTGGACTCCAATTACCTTCTCTATGACTTGGACTTAGTGGCTCACTTCTAACAAATAGTATAAAGTGGAAGTGATGATCTAGAACTTAAATAGTAGGTCATAAAACACATTGCAACTTCCATCTTGGTCTATCTCGCTCCAGCCAATAGTCATGTGATTGAGCCCTTTGGCACATGGATCCTCCAGCTCCAAACAAGTCATCAGATGACCACAGCCCTTGTCATTATCCTGACTGCAAACTCACAAGAGGTCCTGAGCCAGAACCAAACCCCTCCGCATCAGCTGCTCCTGAATTCCTGACCTACAGAAACTATAAGATTATAAATATTTATTGTAAGCCACTAAATTTCAAGGGTAGTTTGTTAAGCCACAATAGATAATACAATAGGTAAAAAAAAAAAATTGAAAAGAAGTAAAAGAAAAAACATCTTGAGTAACCAAAGTATCTGGTGCAGCTTGCTTCAGTTAATGAAGGTTTAGTGTAAAAACACACACGCCAAGAAGTTCAGGAAATCCAAACTGAACTTTAAAGCATGATAAGAACTTAAAGGTCTTTCTATATCCAAGGAGACTCTACAAATCTCAGCATCAGGAGCTCAGAGATCTTTATTGTAGTGCTGTTCTATTTTATACCTTTGTTGTTATTAATCTCATAATGTCCATTACCTCATTCTGGTTGGTGCCTCCCCCAGTTTCTTAGCCTCTTATTGCTACTTAGAGTGTTGTCTGTGGACCAGCATTATCAGTTTTTACCTGGGACTTTGTTAGAAACTTTGGGCTGTACCCCAGACCTACTAAATCAGAATCAGCATTTAAGTTTGAGAAATATTGCTGTACATCATGGCCATTAGCCTTAAGCTCCTACCTCTCACTGCAGTGGTTCCCAAATTTTGATGCACCTTGTAATAACCTGATATCTTTAAAAAATACTAATGCCTGGCTCCCACCCTAGACATTCTTATTGGATGTGTACAAGGCAAGACAGGCAATTGGAAGTTTTAAAAGCTTCCAGGTAATTCTAATGACTAATAAAATTTGGGAGCTACTAGTGCATCACTTCCACTTTATACTATTTGTTAGAAGTGAGCCACTAAGTCCAAGCCATAGAGAAGGTAATTGGAGTCCACCTATTAAAAGGAGTCGTATAATTTGTGGACATATTTAAATAAACACAACTTTTTTTTCTTGGTTATTTTCCAATTAAATTTCAAAAAAGAGAGCATTTAATAAACCCATCTTATCTTTTTGTTTTGTTTTGTTGATTTTTTAAATTTAAATTTTAGGTAGTTAACATACAGTGCAATATTGGTTTCTGAAGTGGAATTCAGTGATTCATTACTTACATACAACACCCAGTGCTCATCCCAACAAGTGCCTCCTTAATACCCATCACTCATCTAGGCCCCCACCCACCACCTCCCTCCATCAACCCTCAGTTTGTTCTCTATCATTAACAGTCTCTCTTATTAACCTCTCTCCTTTTTTCTTTTCCCCCTTCCCATATGTTCATCTGTTTTTTTTCTTAAATTCCACATATGAGTGAGATCATATGGTATTTGTCTTTCTCTGACTTATTTCACTTAGCATAATATACTCTAGCTCCATCTATGTCATTGTAAATGGCAAGATTTCATTCTTTTTATGGCTGAGTAATATTCCATTGTATATATACACCACATCTTTATTCATTCATCAATCAATGGACATTTGGGCTCTCTCCATAGTTTGGCTTTGTTGATAATACTGCTATGAACACTGGAGATCATGTAGCTCTTCGAATCTGTATTTTTGTATCTTTTAGGTAAATATCTAGTAATGCAATTGTTGAATCATAGGGCAGTTCTACTTTTAACATTTTGAGGAACCTCCCTCCTGTTCTCCACAGTGGCTCCACCAGTTTGTATTCCCTCCAACAGTGCAAGAGGGTTTGCCTTTCTCCACATCCTTGCCAACACCTGCTGTTTCTTGTGTTGATTTTAGCCATCTTGACAGGTGTGAGATGGTAGCTCATTGTGGTTTTGATTTGTGTTTCCCTGATGATGAGTGATGTTGAGCATCTTTTCATGTGTTTGCTGGCCATCTGGATGTCTTCTTTGGAAAAATGTCTGTTTATGCCTTCTGCCCATTTCTTAACTGGGTTATTTGTTTTTTGGGTGTTGAATTTGATAAGTTCTTTGTAGATTTTCGGATACTAATCCTTAAAAATACTAGTACATACTAATCAGATATGTCATTTGCAAATATCTTCCATAGGCTGCCTTTTAGTTTTGTTGATTGTTTCCTTTGCTGTGCAGAAGCTTTTTATCTTGATGAAGTCCCAATAACTCATTTTTGCTTTTGTTTCCCTTGCCTGTGGTGACATGTTTAGTAAGAAGTTGCTGTGGCTGAGAGCAAAGAGGTTTCTGCCTGTGTTCTCCTCCAGGATTTTGATGGTTTCCTATCTCACATTAAGGTCTTTCATCCATTTTGAATTTATTTTTGTGTATGGTGTAAGAAAGTGGTCCACTTTCCTTCTTCTGCATGATGCTGTCCAGTTTTTTTTTTTTTAAGATTTTATTTATTTATTTGACAGAGAGAGCACAAGCAGTGGGGAGCAGCAGAGGGAGAGGGAGAAGCAGGCTCCCTACTGAGCAGGGAGCCTGACGTGGGGCTCTATCCCAGGATGCTGGGATCATGACCTGAGCTGAAGGCAGAAGCTTAACTGACTGAGCCACCCAGGTGCCCCAGCTGTCCAGTTTTATACAAAGTTATGTAGTGGGCCTTTAACCATCCTATAAATTGGCTAATTTTAACCCAAGAAATTGTGGGGCAAAGAGTGACTATTGCAGGATCATATGACCCCAAAATAACCACTGCTGCTCAAAAAGGCTGTGAGGAATGCAGTTTCCTTTAGTGCAATGCTTCTTAATCTTGGCTGCACATTAGAATAACCTAAAGAACTTGAAACTCTCAGTATCTACAAAACAATTCATTTAGAATCTCTGGGTCAGATCTAGGCAATGATGGTGTTAATCTGCCCAGATAATTCCAATTTACAGGCAGCATTGAAAAACACTTCTAAAATAAATAGTGGGAATAGCAATGGGCATGGCTATATAAACCGTATGCCAGAACAAATACAAATTACAATTATGTTGGCTTTAAAATCATGAGTACTTTATTTACTTATGGCCTCAACCTAAAATCACTGGAATGAATGGTTGCATTATGTAAGGGAAAGAAAATAGTTTATAAATCAGATAAACCTGAGGTTTAACCCTCTGGTTCAGTGGATTTGGGCAAGGTTTTACCTTGATCAACTTCAGTTTTCTCATTTATAAAATGGAGATAAAACCAAATCAACTAACTCAAAGCATTTTAAGAATAATAAACATTATAATATACACAAAATACTTTAGACATTGTAGGTCATCAACTTCCTCTTCCATGTATGAAGGTGTATTTTCTTTAAAAAGGTGTGATTCTGGAAATGACTGGATGTAAACCTCACATTTATCCCATGGGGTAGGAGAGTACTGTTGTTTTTAGAGTTTAATAGATGAGAAAATTTAAGCTCAAAAATGTTAAATAATGAGTAATAAAACTGAGATAGAAGAAACACAGGTTATCTACCCCAAAGCCCAAATTCTTAACCATCCCACTCTACCAGCTCTCTAAAATAGCTACCTTCTTCCTTATTATCTTTGAAAGAAATATTGGTATGTATATAGGGTGGAAATGAGGTATTGAGAAGGGAGAATGTAGCGTCTGTAATGATGTGGTGTGGCACCGGTGCTGCCAGCATCCTGGTAAGTGTCCTCTTTTTCTTCCCTCAGGCCAAGTTGTCAACCGCACAGCTCTCAGTCCTGTCCTAGAAGGGTCACCATACAATTCTTCAAAGGTGATACTGTCCGTGTACTTCTGAAAAATCACCAGAATGTGCTTATTTTTTTCATACACAAGTCTTGCCTACATATGCATAACATAGTCTGTACTTTCATAGACTAAGAAATGTAAGACATACAAACTTATGAATAACCATATCCAATTAACCTTCTTCTACTCTCCCTCTCCCTTCAGAAGCCAATTACAATTGTCACTTGATTTTTTTTTTGAATGTACCGCTTTTCTTGTTTATACTCCTGCTATCTTGCTATATTTAATTCTTGTAATCTCCCTTGGTAAATTCATTAGCCAACATGCTTTTCAATTTAGCTAAATTTCATTTATACTTCTTGGCATCCTTTCAACTCACTCATCCCTATATAACCCTTCAGGTTAAGACACGTGCAGAAAAGATACCTATCCAGACTTAGGTACAGACATCAGAACTGGAGCAAACCCAAGTCCTAAATTTAAATTTCATTTAAGTTAAAGTTTGTCTCTGGCATACTTCACTTACTCTCTTTAGTTTCTAGGACCTCTCACTATTCAAACATTTTCATATCCTCTTTCCCTATCAAACTGTAACCATCCCATAATAAAGTCCCTTGGTTTTCTACTAAATATAACAATAATCTCCTCTCTTCTCTAATTATCATTTTACTTCCCTCAACTGGATCATTCCCACTGGCATACAAGCATATTCAAATATTTCACATCTTTAAAAAAAAAAAAAAAACTTCCTTGGGGGCACCTGGGTGACACAGTCAGCTAAGTGTCAGACTCTTGGTTTCCGCTCAAGTCATGATCTCAGAGTCATGAGATCGAGCCCTGTGTGGGGCTCCAAGCTCGGCGTGGAGTCTGCTTGGGATTCTCTCTCTCTCTCTCTTTCTCTCAAGTAAACACATAAATCTTTTTTAAAATATCTTCCTTAATCCCACTGTTTGAAGAGGTTATCAAAAAGATGTGACGGTTGGATGACCCCTGAGCTGGACCAAAGCAATCAGAGACTCCTTGCTCACTTCCCTGTCCTTGGAATATGTATTTCTCTTGCTTTTTCTGCAGTAGGGGCTGGTCAAGGACACAGACTTGAGAAAATAATGAGCTATTGTGACCATCTGGGCATATTATGTGACTGAACCTGGTTAAAGTTTCCATATAAACTTTAAGATTCTGGCAGGTGGGTGCACAGATCTACTCATCTTGAGGCTGCCCAAGACAAGGCTTATAAACAAATTCCCTTGCTTATTAAAACCTGCCACCTACTGATCTGGAGTGGTCTGTTTCTCCTTACCCTCCATGTGAGAGAGCCAGTTTGCAAACCAACACCCACATTACCTTGTAGCTACTATCCCATTTTTTGACACCCCTTACAATAAAATTAATCTAGAGTTGCCCATAGTCATTCTCTACTTTCTCACTATCCAGTCTCTTTGAAACCACTCGGAACAAACTTTCATCCCCACCACTCCACTGAAACAGCTCTTGTCAAAATTACCACCTACATTGCCTTTGCCAAATTCTATGGGCAATTCTCTGTTTTCATCTTCCTCAATCTCTCAGCAGCATTCTGCAGTGTTGTTATTACCTCCTTCCTGAAACTCATTCTTGCCTTGGCTTCTATGACACCAGATTCCATGTTTTCTTCTATTGGTTTCTCTTTCATAGTCTCTTCTCTTGAGTCTTCCTCTTCTGCCTAAAGGTATTATCATGTGGTTATACAATTCAGAATACTATTATCATGCCTCTGAATACCATCTCAGTGCTAAGCATTCCCAAATTTACATCTTTCCCCAAGTTCAAACCTGCTTATCTACTTGCAAACCTGCAAGCTGTTCATTTACTGTGTCCTGTATGTTTAATAGACATCTCAAATTTAATGTGTCCAACACAGAAATTTATTTTCAAGCCCAAAACCTGCTCCTCTGCAAACTTCCTTACCTCACCTGATAGCACCACCACCCACCCATTGCTCTTGATTCTTTGGTTCTTTGATCCTTCATTTTTTTTTAATTTAAAATCAATTAATTAACATATAGTGGGTATTATTAGTTTCAGGGATAGAGTTTAGTGATTCATCAGTTGCAATAACACTCAGTACTCATTACATCACGTGTCCTCCTTAATGGCCATCACCCATTTACCTCAACCCCCCACCCTCCTCCTCTCCAGCAACCCTCAGTTTTTTCCTATAGTTAAGAGTCCCTTATGGTTTGTCTCCCTCTCTGATTTCATCTTATTTTATTTTTTCTTCCCTTCCCTTATGTTCATCTGTTTTATTTCTTAAATTCCACATATGAGTGAAATCATATATTTGTCTTTCTCTGACTTATTTCACTTAGCATAATACCCTCTAGTTCCATCCATGTCATTGCAAATGGCAAGATTTCATTCTTTTGATGGCTGAGTAATATTCCATATTCATTCCACATCTTCTTTATCCATTCACCTGTTGATAGACATCTAGACTCTTTCCATATTTTGGCTATTGTGGACATTACTGCTATAAACATAGGGGTGCAGGTGCCCCTTTGAATCACTATGTATCCTTTAGATAAATACTTACTAGTGCAATCGTTCAGTCATAGGGTAACTCTATTTTTAACTTTTTGAGGAACCTCCATACTGTTTTCCAGACTGGCTGTACCAACTTGCATTCCCACCAGCAGTGTAAGAGGGTTCCCCTTTCTCTGCATCCTCGCCAACATCTGTTGTTTCTTGAGTTGTTAATTTTAGCCATTCTAACAGGTGTGAGGTGGTATCTTACTGTAGTTTTTATTTGTATTTCCTTGATGCCGACTGATGTTGAGCATATTTTCATCTGTCTATTGGCCATTTGTATGTCTTCTTTGAGTAATGTCTGTTCATGGCTACTGCCCATTTCTTGACTGGATTATTTGGTTTTTGGTTGAGTTTGATAAGTTTGTTATAGATTTTGGATACTAGCCCTTTATCTGATAAGACATTTGTAAATATCTTCTCCCATTCTGTAGGTTGTCTTTTAGTTTTGTTGACTGTTTCCTTTGCTGTACAAAAGCTCTTTATCTTGATGAAGTCCCAATGGTTCATTTTTGCTTGTTTCTCTTGCCTTTGAAGATGTGTCTAGCAAGAAGTTGCTGTGGTCAAGGTCAAAGAGGTTGCTGCCTAAGTTCTCCTCTAGGGTTTTGATGGATTCCCGTCTCACATGTAGGTCTTCCATCCATTTGGGTCCTTTATTTTTACCCATGATTTCTTTCCTTCATTCCCTTCAGCTCTCTACTCTACCTCCATATGCCATTCATCAATCCATCAACTGATACTTTGGGTTCTATCTCCAAAACACATTCCAAATCCAGCCACCTCTCACTATCTCCATTGCTACCACTTTAGTTCAAGCCATTGTCATTTTTCTCTAGGTTAAATTACTAAATTGTCTCTCTATGTTTATTCTTTCTTTCCTTTACAATCTATTCTCCATTCAGCAGATATATCAAAGAATATCTCTCCCCTGACTAAAACTTCCAGTGGCATTTAACAATGCTTGGAATAATATCTAATTCTTTACTTTGGTCTACATTTCTGATGATCGGATCCTGTGCTTTCCTCCTAAACATATATTCTTTCCTCAAATGATTAGCCTAAACCAGTGGTTCTCAAACTTGAAGGTTCTAAGACTGAGACAGGAAATATGCAAGATGAGCCTGGAGCATCTTGTAGCATCATAAAGTAAGGAAGTGGTAACACATACTTACTGATGGACATATGTTAAAGGGGCACAGGAGCTAACTGAAAGAGTCTCTAGTGGCCAAAACTAGAATAACTTCAGCAACAAAATAAAGTAGTATTGGATTATAAATCTAAGTGTAAGATCCATAAATGAATGGTTAAGCAAATTAATAAATGGGGAGAGGAGACAAATCTCTCATGCAGAAGAATTCCAAATAAATTATGCAGATATTTCACCCTAACGAGAAATCTGAGAAACACTACTTCAGCCCAGATGATTAAGGTCAACATCAATAGTCATAAATCATATTGATAGTGTGTGCTCTTGGTGAAAAATGACATTTTAGTTCTGTGGTCTTTCTCCCAAAAACCCATAAGCCTAGTCTAATCACAAGGGAAACATAATACAAACTCCAGTCAAAAAGCATCCTACAATATGCCCAACCAGTACTCCTCAAAACTGTCAGCAAAAACAAAAAAATCTGAGAAACTATCATATCCAAGAGGAACCTGTACCAACTAACTGTAATGTGGCATCTGGATGGGATCCTGGAACAGAAAAAGGACATTAGATAAAAATGAGGAAATCTAAATAAACTATGGGCTTTGCTTAATAATAATATATCAAAATTGGTTCATTAATTGTAACAAATGTAGCACACTAATGTAAAATGTTAATAATAGAGGAAACTGGTGGGTGGTATATGGGAACTCTCTGTACTATCTGTTCAATTGTTCTAAATTTAAAACTGTTCTAAAAAAAATAATGTCTGCTTTTTGAAAGTTTTAAAAAGAAGAAGACAAGCCTCATGGGGAAGTTATAAACTTTCTGAGTGGATTGCTCCAGGGCTTGCAATGGGAGTTTTGAGTTATTCTTATTCAAATCCCAGGTGACTTTTCATTTACACCACAAATTTACTAAGACTAGGCACTGATTTAATGCTCCAGATGTAAATAAAATAGGCCGGGCTATTCTCCTTTCCCCCAAAGGCATAGTAAAGTTGGTATGAGTTTCCCCAGCCTGTGTTTACCTGCAGAAATCCTGCTAATCACTTCTCTTTGACTTTCTCAAACTTAGAGATAGGTTACAATTGTCAGTAGATCTCACATGTTTATACCTTGTTCCACTTTGCATAGACACTTAAAAGCTAAAAATAACAATTAAGTGTACATAAGAATCAGCCAGAAGGCTTATAAAAACATTGATGACAGGATGCTACATCTAGAATTTCTGATTCCCTAAGTCTTGCATTTCTTCTTCATTTTTTTAATTGAAGTATAGTTGACACACATTAATTTCAGGTGTACAATGTAGTGATTTGATAAGTCTATATGTTATGCTATGCTCACAAGTGTAGCTACGATCTGTCACCATACAATGCTATTACAATACTTTTGACTATATTCCTTATGCTGTGCCTTTTATTCCTGTGACTTATTCATTCCATAACTGGAAGCCTGTTATCTCCCACTCTCCTTCACCCATTTTGCCCGTTCCCCACCTCCTCCCTCTGGCAACCCTCAGTTTGTTCTCTGTATTTGCAGGTGTGTTTCTACTTATTGTTTGTTTATTCATTTGTTTTGTTTTGCTAGAGTTCACATATATTCTCCTGCATGTATTGTGCTTTAATATACTATCTAAACCAACTGCAACAAGCATGAGGTCATGAGAGAAGGTGCCAAAAGATGGCATAGTGAAGAGGTGGGGATAACCTGCATCTTGAGGACATCATTGAGCTATTGAAGCAACTAACCCTGAAGCCCCGCCTATTTTCAAACAACCTATTGTGAGATAATTTCCTTATTGTCTAAGTCAATCTGAGTCTCAGTACTCAGTTTCTCATAGTTAAGATCATCCTGGGACACTATCTCTCAGATCCCATCCCTTCCACTCTTCTCATCATTTATTAGTTCCAGCTATAGTGTCCTTCAGTTTCTTGAACCTACAAAGCTCATTCTATGTGAGGATCTGACAACTGACAGTCCCTCTACCTGGACACTCTGGCCCCAGACCTCCCCATGGCTGGATCCTTCTTGTCACTGGAGTCTTAGCTCAAATGTTACTTTTCATAGATACCTTTCCAGACCACACAATTGAAGTGGTGTTTTTCAGCCCACCTCCAATAATTTTTTACCTTATTACCCCATTTTGTTTTTGACAGAACATTTACAGCATCCTAAATTTTTTTAAGATTGTATTTATTTATTTGAGAGAGAGAGAGAGCAGGAGCAGGGAAGCAGAGGGAGAGGGAGAAGCAGGCTCCCCACTGAGCAGGGAGCCTGACGACGTGGGACTCAATCCCAGGATCATGACCTGAGTCAAAGGCAGATGCTTAATTGACTGAGCCACCCAGGTGCCTCACAGCATCCTAAATTATATCATAGCATTTGTACATTTACTTCTTCGTTCATTTTCAGTCTCATCACTCCCTTCTCTTTCTACACGGTAAGATCCATGAGATTTGAGACCATCTCTGTCTTGCTAATTTCCATATTTCCACTACCTGGAAGAGAGCCTAGGAATGGAAGGAGTGATTAACAAATATTTGTTTAATGAACAAATTAACCAAAAAAGGCTAACATATGTTCATTTTTTAAAAAAAAATTGGCCTTTTTCCAAATGTGAGAATTTTAGAAAGATTGTTGAGAGAGGATATTTAAAGGTAGATCTTAAAGATTCCCTTCAAAACAAAATCACTCCACATAGGGAACCAGGTATTGCATCTACACATAGTACACCCAAATTATCAATAAAAGATCAACCACAGCTGTCACCAAAACTCCTGGTGTATTAAAGTAATTGCCAACAGATCTATACACCAAACTAGAGCAATGTCAGCAAAAGTAAGGGTGGCAACTTTCCAAAGTAAAAAACCACTGAAGGCAGAAAAAAATACCCTGTCTCTGGCCCAAGAAGCCAGAGACAGGTAAAAAATTATTTCTTATGTTTGTATTTTTAAATAGTGGTGTTTGTTAATTACCTGATGTCTT